CGAGCCTGACACATGCTAAGCACCTTCCCAAAGTGCTGATCTACGAGAAACTCCTGAAAGAGCTTTCCATAGATACTTGAGAAAGAAAAACGAGGAGTTTATCTTGATCTCTTAATCCTTCAGTTGTTTTTTTTTTTTTTTCCCCTCTCTGCTCTCTCTACCTCGGCAAGCTTGGTAATTATAATTTATAGCACCTGCTTACTTTGAAATACCTTGGACTCCTTCTGCCTGGCAGAGGAACAGACACAGTGCCCATCTGCTTTAGGTAAGTGCTCACAAACCACAAAGTCGTTAATTAGACTGACACACGACTCTTCCAGAATACACATGGTATGTTGTTACTGCACCTATAAACCACTGGCAAGCAGATCCTCTGCCAGGGGGATCACAACTGGAGCTGAGCATTACGTAAAGCTCTGGCACCCCGTGCAGGGCTCAGAGCGTTGCCATCAGGTGTGCGTGTTCTTTCTAATCCTCCCCACTGGGCTTCCCAACATGCTTCCCAGATAAATCAAGCCTGCTGGGAAGCAGCTCCCTTCACACTTGGTAGGAGGCTCAGCCTCCAGAGCTTTGCCTTTCCCTTCTTTTGAAATCCAAATTCCTCTTTGTGTTCATCTGGTGATCTCTGCCAAGGTCTCCCTCCTGACAGCTTGGGCTCCAGGCTGTGATGCCTTCACATCCTGGAGCTGACAGGGAGCAGGGCAGGTCTGGTTCTGGCCCCACAGGCGTGGCTGCAGCTTCAGAGGGCCTGTGGGGAAGGGTGTTTGTAAAGAGAGGGGTGCCTGATGTAGATGGGGCTGTTGGGGTGGATTTGCCCCCTCAGGCTGGCTGGCATCCGCGGGGCAGAGTGAAGGATGGGCATCCCTGTTTGGGGAAAGCTGAACCCCCACAGTGGGTGCCTCCCTCTGACGAGGGGTGGCACAGACCACAGGAAATCCCTGCTGTGGTCCAACCTGGAGCAGCCAAGCTTTGGGTCAGCACATGAGGTGATGGACAGTGGGCATCCTGGACCTACAAATTCCTCTGGCACAGAGTTATGCTGAATGATTGAAAACCTCCTCCTGGTCGGCCAGTCTTCCCAGCACCTGTGTGAGAGTCTGCAGGAGGAAGCCCTGTTTGAAATATTATTTGCCAAAACTCAGGACCCCATCTTCCTTGGTTAGAAAAGGTGTGGGGGGATCACACAGAGATCCAATGGGAAACTCCTCTTGGAGAGGATCCCCAGGAGAACACCCTGACCGTCCCATCTCCCCTAAATTTGCCTGAATAATTTTTTTTTTTTTTTTGGCATTCTGTCTGTCCAGGGAGCTGCTGCTTCCTCTCCCTGAGAAGGAGAGGAAGGAAGAAGAGCTGGAGCCCTTGTGGAGCTGTGTGGGAAGGCATTCAGGGTGCATGTGCAATGCCAGAGGGCTCCAGGGTGGAACAGGCTTTGCTGGGGACAAGACATTCTGGAGCAGAGAGTTCACGCCCTGACTGTGCCACTGACTCTGATCGTTCTGGGCAGGGCACTCCGACTTCCACGTGCACCATCACCCCATAAAAACGAGGAATGACTTCCTTTCTGTTCCCTGAGTGACAGCATTTATTGGAGTTTCTTTCTGCCCACACTTCCCTCTCCTTGAGCTGTCTGGGACTCACAGACTTTCTTCAGACCTCCAGCTGTTCCACATCTCACAGCACACATCCTCCAGAGCCGGAGGAGCATCTGCTGCCTTCACTGGCCAGCACTTTGAGCCAGGACCTGTACTGAGGGATTTCAGGGACCTCACAGTTCAATTCCAAGTGCCACCAAAGCTTGGGTGCATGTGTCCTATCTCATCCTCTTCGAATGCCCAGAAGCCAAGACAGCTGCCACATCTGGAGACAACTGGAGTTCAACAATCATTGTTTTTTTGCTTTCCTGTTTCAGAGACTCCACTGACACAGTTTTTTTGCCACATTTCAGCTCTAACTCTCTGCTGTTCAGGCAGCAAATGCCAGCATCTCTCTGTCCCATAGTGGCTGAAACAATCCTTTCTGTCCCACTTGTCTGGCCGCCTCATCCCCTGCATGGTTTGGGAAGTTCTTCTGGTAGAGCTACACTCAAAACAATTGCTCCCAGCCTCCACTTAGTTTGACTGCTTCAGTTGTAACCCTGAGAAAAGACTTTTGCATTGAGAAGCCTGCCTTTTTTCTCCTTTGTCAGTTTGTCCCTGAGGGATACACACTTTCCCTCCAAGTGCTGCCTGAATCCCAGAATGACAAACATGGACACCAAATGCAAACATCTGAAAGAGCAAGAAAATAACCAGCACACAATCCCTTTCTGTCTGGAACTGCTGTTCCACCCCATTCCTGCCGGCTCCCATTCTCACCCCCTTCCCAGCTGTCCTGCCTGCTTGGCATGTGTTGCCAACTTGCAAACAGAGAGTTAATATTGCACCAAGTGCTGTTCCAGTCCAGTAACTCATGGGCTGTGGGGATGTGCCACAAAGCCACTTCCCCTTCTGAGTGGAAAAAAGTCATCTCTGGGCAACCCAAATAACGCTGGATCTCAGATAACCCGACCAGTAACGCTTGGAAACTGTGCTGTGGGTGACCTATAGGTGTTCCAGGCTGGCTGATTTTTTGGCAGTGAACACACAAGAGCCTCATAAACTTGTGGAAAATGACTCAGGTATTTGAAAAACTGTGTGTGTGGGGGGAAAAAATCACTCTAATAAGACCTGCATGGAGCCTCTTGGTCTGAGGTGAGCAGCTGTTGTGCAGTTTTTGTGTGAAGAGGAGAAAGTTGTTCTCTACAGCTGCTTGAAAGAAGGTTGTAGTGAGATGGAGGTCAGTGTCTTCTGCCATGGGAAGCTGTGGCTGCCCCATCCCTGGAAGTGTTCAAGTCCAGACTGGGGCATTGTGGTCTATTGGAAAGTGTCCCTGCCCATGGCAGGGGGTTGGAATGAGAGGAGCTTTAAGGTCAAGCCCAATCTCCTTCAGGTTGTCTAAGGTAACTAATTTCTTCCTAAAATTTGGTTTCACTGTTCAGTTTCTGCAGGAAGATCACCAGATCCCAGCTGGCCTTACCTCTCCCTCACCCAGCTTTGGAGACATTTGGGGAACCCTCGCTGGGTGAGGTGGCCTCCGTGCACCAGGAACAGGTGCCTCTGTGCTGATTCACGCCAAGCCATCCTCCCACCCTGCACCTTAAACGATCCCCAAAGCGCTGTGAGCGGCTCCTTGGAGTGTTTTGCGTTTCTCACGTGCCATGTGGTGTTTTGGCGGGGGTTGTGGGCTGAGGAGATGGAGCACGTGGGCCTCACAGCACCAGACAAGGTGGCCATCCATCAGTGGCCCAGGAGGGGTGGTCCAAGCTGCAGGGGTGGCTGTGCAGGTGCTGAACCTTCAGAAACAACGACTGGGTCTATCCAGCCATGGGTTCTGGCAGCACTGGTTGTTACAGGCTTTCACAGGCAGAGGAGAGACAGGCAGAGGGGGGGGAAAGGGGCAGCCCCCTTGCAGTGATCTTCCATGTCATGCTCCCCTTGGAATGGAAATCACTCAGAAAACAATCTAATCTCCAAATCCCTGGAGTTGGAGGGGGTCTTGACTCTGGCACTGGGGGTGATGTCAACACAATTTAATAACAACCACAACCATGTGCCAACCATGTTTCAACAACAAAGGTTTCAAACTTTCTCCTGGCAGAAAGAACATTCATATCCTGCACAGCAAACACCCCCATTGCAAATTAATATTTAAATTAATATTTACAGAAACTCCTACTTGATGCTGGGAGGGCCACACATGGAGAATTGTGACCAGTTTGGGGCTGCCCAGTGTAAGAAGGATGAAGAGGAAGCAGATGGGTGCAGGGGAGGGCTGGTGACTGAGGCAGGGTCCCTCATGAGTTGAGGTAGAAGGAGCTGGGTTGGTTTCACTCAGCAGAGAAGAGGCAAAGAGGAGTCCTGTTCATGACCCACAACCAGAGGTGATGAAGCCAAGCTCTTCACGGTGGTTTCAGGTGGTCAAACAAAGAGTAACGGCCGCAAATTACCTGCCAGGAGGTTTAGGTTGGACTGGAGAAAAAGCTTCTTCCCCAGAAAGAACAGGCCCAGGCCAGGCCACCAGCTGGGGGGAATCTCTGTGCTTGGGTAGACAAAGCTGCAACTGCCCCACTGAGTTTTTGGGGTAGTCCTGCTCCAAGCAGGAGATTGTCCTGGAGATTCCCAGAAACTGCCCCCAAGCAATGTTTTTTGTGATGAAAGGGCTGTGTGAGACTGGGGCTGAAGTTAAGGATTAGGGATAAAGTCAGTTTTTCAGTGGCTCAGCCCAACTCAGAACACTCTTCCAAGCTTCAGCAGTGCTGCCTACACTGCCTGGGCAACTCCCAAACACACCTTCCCTAAACTCAGTGACACCATCAGGGTCAGTTTGCAACTTTGCCCACACACAGAAAAACTGCAAGTATTTCAGAGTCCTGTGATTTTTAGTGGACACAGTAGCAAAAACCTGCTGTGGATATAGTTTAAACAAAAAAGCACAATCACAAGCCTCAGCTTCTTCTCGGGGCTGAACTGCCCAAAGTGTTTTAAAGCATTTCTACCCTGACACAATGACCCTTCTTTTTTTGGGTAAAACAGCCCAACTCGCACGCTGACAGACCAGAGTGTCCTCTGTGCTCCCTGGCAGGTCCCTTCCCCACTGTGGTCCACAGTGGAGAGGACAGAGACTCTTTGGGTGGATATTTTCCAACGTTCCTTGAAATATGAGTTGGCGCTGGTGGCCTTTTCATCACGATGCACACATGGGGAGCTGTAATTTCAACATCCTCTACCAAGACAGTGCTTCTTCCTTGAAAACTGCCCTCTCCTCCCTTCTACCCTAAGTGACAGTAATCTTTGCATAAATTGGAAAAGAAAAGGAAGAAGGAACAGAACATCCTTGACAAAGGAACTAATGACTCAAGTGCTGGGAAGCCTGGGGCCCCCAAGGGACCGTGCAGCTCGCAGCATTGATTTTTAATGACTTACAGAGATTGGAGGTTTGGAAGATCTCTCAGTGCCTCTGCAGGGATGCGACTCAGCTGATTGTTCTGCAACATCCTATAATTAGAAAAAAGAAAACTTTGTTAAAAAAAAAAAAAAAAAAAAAAAAAAAAAAAAAAAAAAAAAAAAAAGAAAAGCCTGACACAAAATGGAGGATGTTGCTGCACGTTTCTGAAGCTGTCCTGGGCTCTCAGTGGAAAAGCTGGAGGTGTTGGCCACGCAGGGCTCTTGAGCAAGCTGCAGGCTGTGCTGGCAGGTGAGCTGCAGCCCTGGCTGGCCCAGGACCTGCAGCAGAGGGGAGAGTTTGGTGCTGAAATAGGGGTCCACTTGGAGGATGTGACCATAAGGGGGGCCTTTGCCCTGCAGACGTGCATCTGTTATCCCAGTGCCCTCAGCCGTGTTTATCCTGGTGTAAGTCATCCCCTCTCCCCGCCTGTGTCAGCTGTGGTTACCTCTGCAGGGTGATGGAAACCAGCCCCTGGGCAGGTTTCCTATCCCACTGCAGGCCAGCTGCAGACACAGCGGGTGAGGAACCACTCCACAGCTGTTCCCTGAGGGGCTCTGCAGCCTTGGCACCACTTGCAGAGGTAACTGGAGCTGTTGTGGGAAAAAAAACCCAACCAGCTCAGGGATTTCAGAGAGATCAGGTCCCCTGAGCTGCTGGGCTGAATGGGCAGGAGCCAGGAGGACTCCTGAGAGGTGGAAGTGAGCACAGGGTGTGCAGAAGGGTTTTGGACACAGACTTATCTATGTAAGTGATGGGAAAGGAGGAGACAGGGGTGGCAGTGCTCCTACACCCAGGGGTGGGTTTCTGAGCTGCTCTAGTGGTTGAGGCAGGGTGAGAACCAGAGTGGGGCTTCAGAAAACGCTGTTGGGGTTCTGGTGGGACACACACACTGGATCTCAGTGGCTCTGTGAAACCTGAGCTCAGCGTTCAGGGTTGATCATTGGAAGTGTCTGGAGTCAGTACTTAAAGCAAAGCCCATTGTCACACTCCTGCTGCCTACCATTTATTACAAGTTCCTTCTCCAACCAGTAAAACAGACTGAGAGACTTTCCAGACCACCATCAGCATGGATGGGTTCCAAAATGAAGCCATTTTGGCGCAGACAAACAATATTTAAGGAAGATGCTTCAGAGACCTCTAAAACCACTGGAGTGCTGGACAGTGCTGTTTTTCACAGCAGTGGGGCAGCCAGAGAAGTTTTCAGATGCTGGGACTGGGACAAGAACCAATGCTTCTTCACACGGCACATAATTAATCCAATAACTCATCATCAGAGCATGACACAGAGAGGCCAAGAAACAGTTCCAGGCAGGGTTAGATAATTTTCTAGGGACAGGGCCACCCTGGTATTAAACAAAAGGTTCTTCATTCAGCCTCAAGCTCAGAAAAGCTCCATCTTTGCTCACTGGTGGCTCAGGTTTGATCTGGAAAAGACATGCTGCACCTATCACTGGATGTCCCAGGATGGTTTTTCTTATAGTTTGCTATTAAGAGAGCCCTGGTCAGGCCTTGCTCGCTGCACACAACAAGCAAAGACTGCTCAGGCCAGCAAGTGCTCAAAACTGAGTGTGGATGGAGCGCTGTCCCCTTGGTTGGCCCTGCTCAGGTGACACTGGGGCTTGCAGACACCGGCAGATGTGGACACACAATCTGCTGTCCACGGCAGTCTGACTGGAACCGGAGTAAATCACTACCCTTCAGAGGTCAGGTTTCATTTTCAGAAGCAGGAGAATTGTTTGTTGGCAGAGACCACACCTGGACGACCAGAAAAATACTGGGATCAGGTCCCATCACACCAGGATCCTTGCACAAGAGAGTCTCAGCATACCTACAGCCCTCAGAGCTACAGGCCTGTGCATGATAAAGTGTCCCCATCTTGGAGGCTGAAGTGACTCAGCCAGCACAAAGGGCTGTTATTGCTAGAGGCAACTGTGCCTGGAGCCCAAGCACAGGGATTAAAGACATTCCAACCTCTGCACGTTCCTCTCTTCCCTCCCAACGGAAGCATCCCTTGGATGTGCCACACCATTCCTCTTGTCCCAAAGCCATTTCTGTTCTGCACAGGCTCGGGGTTGTCCAAGAGGTAGGGGATCTGTCTGGGGATTCCTGAAGTGTCCCAAACCACCTCCCAACCTGCCATCCTGGGGCAGTGTGGCTTTTTTGGTGATGGTTTTTTTGATGTGTGCTCATAAGCCAGGCTAGTCAGCACCTGTCCTGGGCCACAGGAGGTGCTGCGGTTGCAGCTCAGGTGGGGAAGAGGAGGGACTGGGTGAGGTGGCCATGGGGTAGGGTCCATCCAGCCAGGAGATGTGGCATGTTCTGAGGAAGGCCACTCTTGTCAGGCTCCTTCCAGCCTACCTGCTGATGGAGACGAGCCGTGGGCAGTGTGTGGGCAGGGGAGGGTTCGGGCCACGCTGGGTCAACATGTTTGTGCAGGGCAGTGCCGGGCAGTGCTCACACCAGGGGCTGTGCAGGCAGCTGTGGGCAGGCAGGTGTGGGCAGAGCAGGGTCTGCACCCTCACTCAGGCTGGTTGAGGCTTGCTGAGCAATGGAGTGGCAGGGTGGGCCACCCCAGCTGACTGCTGCGGGTACAGGGTCTGCAGCCAGGAGGATGCACCCAGGCACTTTGCCCTCCACAATCTGGGGGTGAGGTTGTGGTTGCACTTGGAGCCTTTCCCTGTGGAGTTTGGTGTGGGATTCCTTCTTGGCCAGTAAGCCCTGCCGTTGCTGCAGCGTGTTCAGTCAGGAAAGTCAGAGGGATGGCAGTCCTGGCTGTGCAGCAGAGCCCTTGGTGAGGGACACATGTGTGAGGGTGGCACGTTGTGTGAAGCCACAGCAGTATGAGCTGATGGCCAGCCAGGTCACTCAGAGCTGAGGGGTGTCCAGCTGAGGAGTGTCCTGCCATCCAGGTCACTCAGAGCTGAGGGGCGTCCAGGCAGCTCTCGAGGAGGTCTGGAAGGATGGAGAAGTTTCCAGTTTTCCAGATACTCTGATTAAGCAGCTTATTCTGCCACCCTGGAAAGCTCCAAGGCTGGGAGAGCCTTGACCAAGGCTTAATTTTGCAAGGGAAGGAGCCTGCAGAGAGAACACAACAGCCCATGGAGATGGTTCTGGTGATCCTGGCACTGGAGTCCGGACCGAGGAGCATCAGCCCCCGTGGGGAGGGTGTGGGTGGTCCATGTTGCCCCCAGGAGAGGTGCACTCACCAAGACCCTTTGCAAAGGGATATACCTGCCAGGGCAGAAGACCTCAGAGCACCAGCTGCTGCTGCTGGGCACCCACCCCTGTCAGCCTGCACTCGTCTGAGGGGAGCTGAGGAGGCCCCATCTCACCCTGCCCAAGGCTCCACGCACGGAGATCTCAGCACATTCCCCCCCATCACAGTGTTTCGTTGCAGTGGGGCAGCCTGGCTCTTCACTTGCTCTCCTCCAAGTCTCCACACACCTGCTTCCCTGGGTGTACCCCTGCATGGTTTCTGCACAGGCCTATCTTCGTGGCCACTTTCCAGGTGGTTTTTGTGCGCTGAAGCAGCCGGTGGAGGCAGAGCCAAGAATCTGGTCCTGCTTCCAGTACCTCTGGGATTCACTCCGAGGGCAGGGAGAGGACCATCTGCACAGGCAGGTTTGGGGAGGAATTCCCAGGGTGTTTCCCATCCTTTTCTAAACATAAACTAACTCTCTGGAAAGACCAGGAAAGCGCCGGGCCCCTTGACAGCCCAAGATGCATGTGGGAGTTTACTGGGGGACCTGCACATGACTACAATTAGCTCTAAGGCTCCAGCACACTAAAATTAAATTGGGAAAATTGTTTCCAGCCCCAGCTATCAACCTGTCTCCTGTGGGGACACCCCTGTCACTGATCCTGCTGTTAGTCAGCTCCTGAATATCCACACAGGTTTCAGCTGCTCGTGTTTGGGGCAGTCATTCCCCACTACAGCCATGCCTGTCACCTCTCAAACCTCAGCCAACCTCTGACAGAGCACCCACATCTATAGATATGATATGTCCAGAATATCCCTGGTGCCATCTGCTCCAAAACTTCTTATTCCTGTCTTCATTTATGGAGAATATGCATTTCCTTCCTTATTGCAGCAGCTGCTTGTCCTTGACGGTCTGTGCCCATCCTCATTCTCCAGGTTAAGTCAGTTGACTTATTGTTCCTTTAGTTCATCCCCAGACCTTCTCACTGGGCTGCAGGACCCAGTGTGTTATCTCCCCAGCACGCTCTGGCTGCAGGAACAAACCTGGATGCAGGAGCAGGAGCCCCAGGAGCTCTGCTGGTCCTTGTGTGATGAGGTTTCCCATTGCACTGGGTTGTCATCCATCAGTGGGGCTTTCAGGTCCCTTTCACAGCACGGAAGGTGACCTAGGGGTGATAATTATGGACTTGCCAGGGCACATTCACAGCAGCCACATGTCCTACACAGGTGACACTTATCTCAGGGGGGTCCCACCAGCCTTACAGAGTGAACCCTGTGGGAACAGGCTCTGAGTGCACAGCGAGGCAGCTCATGGTGCTCAGGGGTCCCTGCACTTGGCCTGTGACCATGAGGAGCAGGAGGACAGAAGATCCCCCAGGCAGGGGAATAGGGGAATTCTTTTGAGAATGGCAGGGGGGGTGTGAGTGGGGTACAACAGAGGAAATTTAGGAGCAGGTGGGGCAGGGATCTGAGCCTGCTAGAGTGTCAGAGGCTTGGACTGCCCCCAGAGTGCATCAGGACCCCTGGGGCCCCTGGTGGGCCAGTCACTGTAAGCATCCATCCTTCCTTCCTTGGGCTTGTGGTTGGGCTACTGCTCTGCATATCCCCATGGGAAAGGTTTGGCGGAGGGGGGGGGTCAGAGTAAATGTCATCGAATCATAGGATCAGTAATGTTGGAAAAGCCCTCTAAGATCATTGAGCCCAAACATGAACCTAACATTGCCACCATAACCGTGGCCCTAAACAGCCAAGTGGTTTAGTTCCAGAGGAGTGGGCAGGGTGCCAGGGAGCCCAGTCTGAGCAGGGCACACTCCTCTTCCTCCTGCGCCCCGCGGGGGAGCTGTGCCAGCTCCGGAAGGGAGGAAGCTCTGGGTGCTGCCTCAGTAGCTCCCCGGGCCTGACACAAACAGCGACTGATCAAAAGCGCCTTGAAAAGCTCCGGCGTCCCCAGAGCAGAAGGTTCCTCCTGTCGAAATTGGGTGGGAGAGCTGCGGTTTCTCCTCAGTTCCTTTGATTTGTTGCCTAATGCAGGGGATGGATAAATCTCTAAGCCCTGAGATTTAGGGCAGGATTCATACTTTACATCTTCAGAAGACGTAGTAAACAGCCTTATACTCTCTAATCCCGGGAGCAGGTTTGTACCTGCTCGCTCTGTATAAACTGGACCAGCTACAACAATTTCACATTGTGGCTGAGTTCAAAACATCCCCTTGGGGATAAAATGTTTATTGCAGATTTTTAAGATGGTTCCTGAAAGGGAGCAAGGGACTCCCACCTCAACAGACCCTACGGGACTGTCATATGGATACAAAAAGCAGCGTGGCTCCACAAGCAGTGACACCCTGGCCTGCAGGAAGGCACAGCTGTAGGTGCCACAGTGGAGCCAGCTCATCTAAGTATGGTTTCCAAAGCCTCCAGAGGAATTTTGTCACTAAGACCTTCCCCACTGGACAGCAGGGGTGAGTGGTCTGCCTGCCATGACCCTTATCAAGCAGGGCTAACAGATCCAAGCCTGATAGCTGCAATGCTCCTGCATTCCAGCTGTCCCCATCAGCCCAGTGGGCAGATTCGGCTCCAGCTGAGGTCAGACTGTCCAAGGATCCCACCCTTCCCAGGGCAGGTCACTCCAGAGCCTTGCAGAGACCTCCTGGGCCTTGCAGAGGTTTGTGGCAAGGACAGGCACAGAGCCCTTTCCCCAGTGCCTGTGGGAGTGCAGGTGTCTGGACCTTTGGGATGCTCCAACCCGCTTTGACACAGCAGCAGAGCAGATGGGAGCCAGCCTGGGCTCTGAACACCACACCTGGGGGACACCACCACGTGGCATTTGGTGAGTTTTATGCAAGATGTGAAGATCTGCAGGTTCCCCCGGGGCACATCACACAGGGGGGAGCTGTGCCCTGGGTGGGGCTGCAGGAAGGAGGGGAATGGGTGGCCCGTGGGGTGGGACACAGCTCTCCAGTTGCCAAGGGCGTGTTGACCCGCGCGGGTTTAACATTTGACATCACACCCCCCTTGTAGCTTTGCATTTCCTTGGGATGGCTGCAAGTCCCCATGCATGGCCAGTGCCAGGGGACCAGGGGAGGCATGGACAGGGGGTGGCTCTGCAGAGGGGAGCGAGCTACTTACAGAATCTTCAGGTTGTAAAGGCCAAAGAAAGCTTCCCCTGGGATCCTGGAGATCTGGTTTCCGGAGAGGCGTCTGCAGTGGAAAGAAGAGCCAGTGATGTGTCAACATCCTTGCAAATGGCAACCCTTTGTCTGTAGAGGTTTAACAGCTCATCCATCCTGCTGCTGTCCCCGTGAGAGGAGGCTGCAGCACCTGCAAGCTGAGCCACGATCCTGAGCTTGGCAAACCTCTGCATATCATCCCCTCGTACGGGCTGTGGAACAGGCAGAGAAAATCAGAGCTCCTGCTAGACCTGAGTCCAGAATTTTCAGCATCCAGAGACAGCTGATGGCTAAAGCCATTCCCTGGATACACACAGAGCTCACCACTCACTGAAATTACAGCACAGGCACCGACCAGCCTACAGACCCTGCTCTATGCCAGGTCCTGGCAGAGAGAGTGAAACAGGGGAGAGCTGTTCCTGTTCATGCAGAGGGGGAACTGTTCCTAAATCCTGGCCCCTTATCTGTCCCTTTTGTCTACATGTGGCCTGCTTCTGCATCCTGCAGATTCTCCTTTGCCCTGTGCATCAAAGCTTGATGCCACTTGATTTGCTTCCATTCCCTCATTCCCAGATCTGTGTGTGATCACAGCTAAAGCCCAGCTCCTCCAACACACCAGGGTTTGGAATCACTGCTGCTGTGAGGGGACACAGGGAAGGGGTTGGAGATGGGGACTACCATGTAGGTGCCACAGTAGAGCCAGCTTATCTGAGTGGGCCTTCCAAAACCAGGACAGAAAAGTCAAAAGTGGTTCTTGGACGAGTTATGGCCGGAGATATGTGTCAGAGGGAAGATGAGGACAGGGACAACACAGCCTGGGAAGGCTGAATGAGGGCGAGGGGATGGGAGAGGAAGACAAAATGAAGGGCAACATCACAAAGGAAAACGGGTTGATCTGGGACAGAGCAAAGAGCAGGGGACAACATTCAGAACTCACTGAAAGAATTTATTCAAGGAAACCCATAGGATTTACTATGGTACAGCGTTGCCTGATCAGAGCACTCAGATTTCAGCAAGGCTCAGAGCAGGCTGGGGAATTAAAAGGTATTTGTATTTTCCACTTGCATTAGAAACTGCATCACTGTTATTCATCATCAGGACCATGGTGAGGGCCTGTGGTGGAGCCAGGAATGGAGACTCTGGAGTCTAGGCTTGACCTAGAGGAGAGGAGAATCTTCTTCTCCTCCTCCTGTTTCACCTGTGAGGACAAACATGGACCAAGTCCCAGTACCCACCAGCCAAAAATCATAAAAACAGGTTCAGCAACCTGATTAAGACCCTGAATTGCTGCTATATTTCAGTAAGAAACTTGTTGCCTACTTGACTTGGAGTGGAATACTGTGCCTCCAAAACAGAGATAGTGAACATCATTTGTGGCCAGGCTCATCCTCACTCTCACAGAAAGTCCAAACCAGGCCCAAAAGGTTGGGCACAGACCCTGGCAAAGCCCTTCGCTGAACTTTGACAAAGCTCATTTCTTCTCATTTTGCCTGGGAAGGAGGCAGGTGTGGAAGATGAGCAGCGTCATCCTGGCTGGAAGCAGAGTGCTCTGCAACCAGGACTCTGCAAAGGTCAGGGGGAGGGCTGGGGCTGTTTTGGGCCGCCACACTCACCGGTGGCAGAGCAGGCAGGGCTCTCCCTCTCTGTGGGTGCCCAAGAGCTCTCCCTTTCTGTCTCTCCCCTGAGGAATCGAGAGAAAATTGCTCCCATAATTAGGCCTTCAACACCATAAACAGCACAGGGTCGTCTCTTTAATGTGTGTGAGCAGGTTGGGACCTGCTCCTCTTGCAGCAGAGGAGCTGCCTGGCAGGCTGGGCTATTTGTCACTTAGGGGCTGTGATTTGGGGTAATTGCTCCTTTTGATTGCTGATTTCCACATGGGAGGGAGTGTTGTCAGGGAGGCTGGAGTGCTTGACTGGAGGGGAGTTGTTCCTGCACGGCATCCTCAGCCTGCTCCCCACATCCATCCCACCTGGCTCTTCAAGGGGACTCTGTCTGTCCTCATCTCCACACCAGGCCAAGGAGCAGGCACAAAGGGAGGCACCAACCACAACCACTGCTCCCAGTTCACCTCCCAAGGCAACCAGCAGTGTCACTGAGGTCTCAGATGGGCTCTGCTCCCCAGGGACTGGGGGGTGGGACGTGTCTGTGTTTGTGCACACAGGCTGAGGTTTTGCTTTCCTAGAGGGATGCACGGCCAGGACATGACACAGGGTGTGGAGGTGTGGGGTTTGGAGGGTTGTTAGACCTCACAGATGCTGCATGATGCTAGGAGGGGTGGCCAGCTGTTCCAGGGAAGGCAGCATGGCTGTCCCATCAGGAAGGGGTAGGCCTTTTGGGGTGTCCTGTCAAGCAGGAAGGGTGGCCACTGGGAAGAGATCATAGAATCAGAAAATGGTTTGGGTTGGAAGGGACCTTAGAGATCATCAAGTTTCACCCCCTGCCATGGGCAGGGACACCTTCCACTAGCCCAGGTTGCTCCAAACTCCATCCAACCTGGCCTTGGACACTTGCACACAGCTTCTCTGCCCAACCTGTGCCAGGGCCTCCCCACCCTCACAGGGAAGAATTTCTTCCCAATATCCCATCTAACCCTGTCCTCTGGCAGTGGGAAACCATTTCTCCCTGTCCTGTCATTCCAAGTCCCTCTCCAGCTCTCTTGGAGCCCCTTAAGGCACATGAAGGGGCTCCAAGGTCTTCCCAGAGCCTTCTTTTCTCCAGACTAAACAACCCCAGTTCCCTCAGCCTGTCTCCAGAGCAGAGGTGCTCTGGCTCTTGGAACATCTTCCTGCCCATCCTTTGTTCCCTTGTCATTGGCTCCTGTGCCAGTTCATGTAAGAGACTGAAGACACGAAAGTTTCCCTGTGTGAGACCCTTCCTCTGTCCGTGGTCACTGGCAGCCTGCCTAGTGCTTGGTTCCTTCTGTCCCTCTCACTCACACTCTCCAGAAATCCCCCTGCCTGGCAGAGAGGCACCCATTGAATGCGTCTCCAGAATTCAGATCCCACAGGAAATGCAGAGAAACGCTTCTTTCCTTTCCATTTAAAATGGAACAATAACATTTCAAGGGATGCTGCCAGTGTGACATCCACTGAGACAGCTCTTAATTTGCTCCTTCTGTGGGGAAGGCTGAAGCAAATAACCCCACCAAGAAGTACTGAGAGGTGGTACTGCCTTTGCCTAAGCACAAGGGGAAGAAGAAATGCTCTTGTAGGGGTGAATATCTGGTCCACAGCACGTGACCTCAGCTCCAGGATTGCTCAGGGCTCTTTTTAGGACAAACTTGATTCAGTGGGATGTCCTGCTGTCCTGAAGTTTACACTGTGACACGGGGTTGGGAGAAAAGAGGAAGCTCTGAATTTAAAGTGACCGATGGAAGAGGGAAGGAAGGGGCAGGTGGAGGTGGAGGGTGGCAGTTGGACAGGGTTTGCTTGCTTCGGAAAGCTCGTGGTGGATTTTAGATTCTGCTCCCCCCTCTCTTCCACCACTCCCGTGATTTCTGGGAACGCTCCTCCAGGCTTTGATCTGCATTCCCAGTGCACTCCAAGTTGGAACAAACTAATGGTTTACCACCTCATGGCTGCTGCTGTTCAGTTACCACAGGCTCCCACCCCCTCCTGTATCTTGGGCTTCTTGGTCATGCTGCAACTTCCACGGCATGCCCCGGGGCTGTGTGCTGGGCATGATCGCTCATGCCACGTGCTCAGGCAGCAGGGTGATGCTCTTATCGCTCCCATTAGGAGGCAGGAACGTTGCCCATTGGCAGGACAGGACAGACATGCGTGTCCGTATCCCGCTGGAGTTTTCCCCTTGCCAGCTCTTCCCCGAGCGTGTCGGCCGCCCCCTTTGATCTCCCGCTGCGGTTGGTTTCCCAGGCGCTGTCGAGGCAGTGTGCCCAGACACTCCATGTGCTCCTGCCTGAGCTGTGTCACCACGCCAGGCGTGTGCCTTCCCCTGGGCACCCAGGGGACCACGGGCCTCTCTCATGCCCGAGTTTGTTCTCGTGCCGGTGCAAAGCAGCAGCGAAGCCATCCAAGTCGTGCAAGTGAAAACACGGTGCAGCTGAGGAAAGAGCCAGGCTTGGACTCTTCCTTCCCACAGAGGAATCTGCAGCTGGTCCTGGTCTGGTATCACCTGGAGGTGCCTCTAACGCGGTCTTTGCTGCCTCACTCCATCCTGAGGAGGAGACTGTGCCTGTTTCTAACTCCCCCCCATGCCTGTTCCAACTCGATAGATTGATGGCATTTGTTCTTTTGTTTATGGTCCTCAAGCCAGCTTTCAACCCACATGAATGTTCATATGCAAGCCAGTTTGGACTCATTTGCCAAGTTAAGATTTAATAAGACACAACTCCTTAATCAACAGCCCGATACAGGACACTGAACACCTTCATTCCATCTCTTTATAATATAAACTGGAAAGGTTTTCAGTTTGTTCCCTTCAAACCTTCAGAGCAGTTTTGACTTTTGACTCTATTTTGGGTGCCCCCCATGGGGTACCCCAGAACAGAGTTAGTTGTATGGAAAGCAGTTTTCAGGAAAATTGGGGCCAGATATGCCAGCTGTTGCTGAACACGCTCACAAACCTAAAAAGAGTAGAAATAGAACTGAAATCTCTAAATTTTCGAAACATTTTGAGTTTGATTTAGCCCCCTGTAATAACTTGGCTTCATCTGTTGATGTTCATGATAGAAAACCCCTTAGAAGCCCTTCTCTGCTGTCCCCACCTTCACCTTAGCCAGTGCCTGTCCCCACATCACGCCAGGTTGCACAGGGATGACCTTTGAAAGGCTTCGTCAGAGGAATTATCCTTTAACTCTCTCTGTGCTCTTGCTCACCCACTGAATTGATGGCCAGCAGAGCAGCACCATCCTCTGCCAAGGACTGGCACCAACCAGGAGGACAGAAAGTCCTGGATGAAGCAGTCGGTCTCCTTTTTGCTAACAAGTTGCACCCTGGTGCCTCCTCAGACCCAGGAGCTGTGCAGCATCCTGGGGGAGCCACAAGTGCCCAAGAACTCAGAGCTGCAGCCCCTTACCTGGAAACGGAGGGCTGTGCAAGTCAAGTTGGCTACCAAGGGAGCAGTGATTCTGCCTCCCAATCTCAGCATGGCAAAGCAAGGTCATGGCCCTACAAGCGTGTATGTCTTCACCAGAGACCTCTGCAGCCTGCTGTGTCATGGAAACCTGCCAAAGCTGCTGTCCTAGGAGTACCCTACTCCAGACATGTTACTGCACTGCTCCAGGAACGGCTTCTCACCACGGTGCCAACGCATGAGAGCATCGCCCAAAAATGCCAGCACCCCCTTCCACAGCAGAGCTGTTGCTCCCGAAGGAGTCGTGCCCCACAGCCAGCATTACTGCAGTGCTGCCTCCTGCAAGAATGAGGGTGCCATGGAGTGAGACCCTGCACTGGACAATCCCCACAACGATGGACGTTCCAGATGTCTGGGAGCCGGAGCAGGGGGAGAGCTCCAACACCAGGGGCAGTGGCCAGTGCTCCAACACCAGGCAGGGGCACTCTGGAACAGTGGTGGAGCTCTGTAACCCGTGATGGCAGCTTCATGAGAAGAGGAGTTGAGAAGGGGGTTCCCTCACAGGTGCCAGGGAGGAGAAAAGGACTGCTGCGTTCCTGTTGCCAGCGTACACGTCTGCATTTTATTTCGGTTTGCTTTTAGGCTGCTTCTTGGCCTTTGGCCCCTCGAGTTGCAGGAGCTGCCTGGGGAAGTGAACAGCCTGTGAGGGGAGGCCACTGAGTGGGTCCTGAGCGGGTGGGTGCTGAGCACGGCACTCCCCATGACGGTGAGTCCCTCTGCCCCCGGGGGCCCCAGAAGAGGCAGGTGAAAGAGCCAGTGGCTGGGAAGGGGTCTGATCTTGCCGCTGTGCCCCGAAGCAAGAGGTGAATGGCAATGAACACCTGCCTTTGGCTGCAGTTTCTCCTCTTGGCACCGAGCGCTCGTGCTTGGATTCAAAGCGCGGTAACAAAGCCCTTGCCGGCAAACACATTTCAACATGTTATTATTCCCAGGCCGGCTTTCAAGATCCTCTTTCTATTCCTTCTGTACCGATTGCTCTTGTTTCTCTTGGCTCCCAACTCTGGCTTTTCAGGCTTCATTAACTGGAATTTATTAGCAACTTTAAACAATCTTCCTGCCGCCAAAAAGAAAGAAAAGAAGAAGGAAAGAAAAAAAAAAAAAGAAAGAAAGAAACAAAGAGGAGACATACTAAACTCTGGGCTGCTCCCTGCCTGTGTGAGGCCCAACTCTGAAGACCTCTCTCTCTCTCTCTCTCTCTCTCTGCAAGTTTTTTTTGGAGGGAAAGACCGGTGAGTGCCTGCTCTGGGACTGTGCCTGCTCACACACAGCCTCTCCTTTCTCCAGAGCTACAGGCTGGTGGGGCAGAGGACACCAGAGCACACACTGATGGGCAGCCACCGAGGACCCCTCTGGCATTGTCTCTTCAAAGGCAGCTGAGACTGGAGAAATCGGCCTCTGGGCATCCCCTGAGCTGAGCACGAGCGCTAATTGCATCCGCAGCACCTTCCTGAGCAGCTCGCAGTAAAAATGACTGACTAACAAGTCCTGGCACTCCTGGGAGGCCCACTCTCACTGCTGGACAGATGAGGCACTGGCAGGGAAAATCACTTTACCCAGACCACACAGTGAGTGAGCAGTTTGAGCTGCAGCAGTCCTGGCATCCTCTCTGACCCCTTGGGGGGCATGTTTGGTGTCCAGAGGGGAGATGGACCTTAAAGATCATCTGGTCCCATCCACCACCTCCCACAGCTGCTGGGGGAGAGCAGGAGGCAGAGGAACCTGTGCTTTCTCTGACTGTTGAAGAAGATAAGGGTTGTAGATCGAGGACCAGGGGTGTCAGGAGTTCCTGGGATATTTCTGAGCATTAGACCAAGGTTAAAGTATCCCTAAAATATAAGAGCTTCTATGGGATCTTAAAGAGGAGATTTGAAAGTCCGGGTTGAATTTGGCAAATATTTTTTTTTGCTGAGGAATCTCTGATTTTTTTTTCAGAAGGTTCAAACATCTTTTTTTAAGGCATCTTTGCAATAAAACAAATATCATTTGAAATACCATTTTCTTTTCAGGTTTGACTAAAAATAAAAGAGGAAATGTTAAGAAACAACCTGAAGATGAAAGTATTATTTCTCTATCAGGTTAGAAGAAATTTTTGGGGGTTGACCAAAGCCCCAGAACAACAGTTTTGGTTCACCTCAGACTGAATTTGGCCGGTTTTGTCTTCAGTTGCTCCATCCTGTTACCCACACAGTTTATCAAGGATGTAACAGGGAACATAAGAGAGGGCAGGCAGGAGGGTAGGCAGGCAGGTCTTCCTGCTCCCCAGGAGACACTAACACTGGGATAGCTGGATTTGGGATGCCTGGGTTGTCCCTCACTGCTCAGAAGGGATTTCTGCTCTTCACTCACTTGGCATGTCCCAGCAAGGCCAGTTCTGCCATGGGGATGCAGGAAGAGTCTCCTGGGCTACGTGTCACTCTGGCAGACCCAAGGGAATACGTCCTGGGCAGATGAAACCAGCAGAGATCTGAGCTGTGGAACCTGAACAAACTTCCCTTGAGGATGTCTAAACAGGCAGGATTTGTTTGCTTGATTCCTCTGCGTGTCCTGGCACAGAGGGTGATCCCAGCCTGAATGTCAAGGTCCTGATGTAATGTTTTGGGATGAAAATTTGGTAAAGATAGAAATGAAAAGAGCAGGGGAAATGCCAGGCAAGTTGCATTACTGGTCGATGACAGCCCTATGAATACTGTACACACTGCCCCTTTCTAGTTGTTGTTGTTGTTGTTGAAAGAACCACTTTTAATTACTTGTAGTATATAAAACTTGATTTCATATAAATTACTTGATTTCCATAAATAGGATTACTGTCCAACTGCTATCAAATTCAAGCAGGCACTTTGCTATGCACAGATATATGATGCAGCAGTTTGCATTTCTTCCCCTCACTGTGATGTTTTTTCCCTAGACAAAATTCCTTTCCTTCCTGAAGGAGGGGGACTTGTGGCATTTTGAACCTCTAGTAAAATGTTATCTGACAACTCCCAATTATTTTTCAGATTTTCCTGTTTAAATTTTTCCCCTTTGCCTGTTTCATTCATAGTTATTTTTGGCTGTGGGAAGCTGGCTCTTTTGGAGTCTATGAATATTTATTCACTGCTGGTGGAGACTGCTCTGTTTGTACATGACGTAATGAGGACACGGCTGCTTGCAGCAAGACAGCTGCTAATTGTGCACAGCAGGGTCTGCTCTGTGTGCGTGGAAAAGCTTCACTCCCCCCAGTAAAGGTGTTGGGTGTCCACACCTTGATGTGGATGTTGACAAAATGAAAAGGGAAAGGCCTGTGAATGCCCCCTGGGAAGGGGGTTTTGGGTAGCTGGGGTCCTTACAACTCTCATGAATTTGAACTACAGACAGGTGGCCACTTGAAGTAAAAAACATGGGGAAGGAATTCTTCCCCGGGAGGGTGGGGAGGTCCTGGCACAGGTTGGGCAGAGAAGCTGTGGCTGCCCCAGCCCTGGAAGTGTCCAAGGCCAGGTTGGACGGGGCTTGGAGCAACCTGGGCTGGTGGAAGGTGTTCCTGCCCATGGCAGGGGGTTGGAATGAGATGGCCTTTAAGGTCCCTTCAACCCAAACCAATCTGTGATTCTGACATTTTAGAAACTACCATCTCTGAAATGTCAGTGCTGTGCACAGTGGTGGTGGTGGCAAGATCTGGTTCAGTGAAAGTGTTTCATCTGGACAGATTAAGCTGCAGTGACTGTTATATACAGTAAGTTTGCAAAACACATCAAATGTAGCATTTATATTAGTATACCATGCGATGCAGTAATAGTGTTTTGATGAAACGGTGCTTTCCAACAGAAGCTGTTGTGTTGAAAGTAGCAATAGCATGAGAATAACACCTGGAGGTATTTCTCATGGTCAAGTGGAGTAAGACCATACAGGTGCAATTTACTCATGCAGAAATGGCCAACCTCAATATTCTACCCCCCGGGCTCCCATTTTTTTGGGGCTTGCAAAGGATTCCAGTGGTTTCTTGTGCTGGTGGTTAATTTTCACACTTTCAGAAGTGGGGCCACTCCTTCACTGACACACAGCCACATGCTGATCCCAGGGATTGAGACTGCTGCTGTGTCTGAGTGTGCCTGCTCAGACCACAGTGCACACTGGTGCCTGGTGGGACACCTCAGCCTCTGGGGAAAATTTTTTGGGCTCCCACTGCCCGGGCTTGTTTCCATCCCAAGTGCGAAGTGCACGGGGCCGAGCGTGTCTCTGGGCTGCAGAGGCTGTGAAGGGGACCCTGTCTGCAGGAGGGTGGGTGAGCTCTCTGTTTGGGCTCTGCCCCAGGGTACAGTGTTGATTTTTTCATAGAGGATTATGTCCTCTTTTATTCTGACTTTCAGGACAGGCATCGTCTCAGCCTGAAGGTGACGACCTCAGCGAAAGCTGGAGCAGAAAATCAACCCTCTCCCAGCGTGCAGTCTCCTTCCACCTCAGCCTGTAGCTGCAGTGACACCACTGGGGGTTGTGACCAGTGCTACAGGACCCTCTGCAGTGTCCCCCCTGCCACCCTGACCCCACTCTGCCCGTGCAGCCTCCCTGTACTCACAGCTCCTCCAGGAAGCGCAGGCGGCGGAGCGTGCGGGGCTGCAGCCAGCTGATGTTGTTCATGCTCAGGTCCCTGGCAGGGAAGAAAAACAGAAGTCTCATCAGTCACACGGTGGTTTGCACTGAATAAAACCTCAGTGCCAGGCTCTGTGCCCCCCTCTCTGCTAAGAAGGAAGGCAAGAAGCCTCTGCAAACAGGATTTCAACATGAACATCCGATCCCAGCCTGGGCTCTGCCTGCAGAGGGGTGGCCAGGAGTAGCCAGAGAGAGCTGGCTCCTTCAGGGTGGTCTGTCTGAGCTTCTCCAAGTTATGAAGCAAGTTAGGACATTTCCCAACAGCTCAAGCAGTGTTGCTGCCTCACAATTTTTGGAGGGTGAACAAGAAGCCCCGTGACTCTGGAGTAGGACAGCATGTCCTCGGGGCCAAGAGCATCTCTCTGTCACCACTGGTCATGCCAGCCCCCACTGGGAGCCCTTCCAGAGTGTGGACAGACAGCTGCTCTTGAGGAGAGAGCAATCCATGACAGAAGGGGTACCTCCCATCAGACTGCTCTGCTCTACACTGGAAAAATGAGAGGACACCACCAGGAATGAGGGGGTGGAGGGTGACAAACTGAGTTTAGGAGGGTGTGCTTGTCTCACTCTTTGCCATCTCTCATCTTGGGACATGAAAGTAGCAAAGTCTGCAGCTGGTGGTTCAATGCACAAGCTGATAGCTGGGAAAAAGAAGGATATTTCTGGGCTCCAAGGCTGTTCATGAGCTCTCATACCTCATAGCTGCAACCCTGCCCTCATGAGCAGCTGGACATGAAGAAAACCACGTTGCTCACCCAAACCTAGACCAAGGTGTGTCCAGGTGAGCCAGGGAACATCGGTCTTTACAACCTTCATGAGCCCTATGTGAAAATGCTCCTGGAAAAGTTTGAGGTTTTTTCCTTTATAACTTTCTCCTCTCCAAAGAAGTGGTGAAAAACTCACCAAAAACCTATGAAAATTCAAATTTCTGTTTCCAGAATGAATACAAAAATAAAGTTATTGCCTGCACTGTTTTGTGTGCAACTCTGCATCCTATATTTGGATGATCCCACTGTACGAGAGTTAAAATATTATTTTGTGATGTTTCTATTTTTATTTCTAAACCCCTAAGGGCAGTTGCTACTTAGCACCCATTAAAACATCTTTTTTTCCTACATCAAAGTGTCTCCTGTTTGTGTTGTAATGAATCAGTCTGATGTTTTGACATGTTGTGGAACAATGTGAAAATAACGAGAAATAATGTAAAATGAAAGGCTGTGAAAGAAAACACTGATCTGAAACATCCAAGATCACCTCGAAACTGCAAGGTTTGCTCCTTTAAGTTGCCTTCTGCTGGCAGTGCACGGAATACTCCTTGTTTGGTGCAGGAGACACTTTCCAAACCTCGTGGATCTGCCCAGCCCTCCCCCAGCCATGATGGGGACAGTGGGTGGTGGGTTCCAGGGATGTGCAGACCCTCAGCATCAGTCCCAGCCAGGGGTTGTGTGTGATTGAGGACAGTGGGAGGTCAAATGCGATTTGGAATCATAGAACCACAAAATGGTTTGGGCTGGAAGGGAACTTAAAGCTCATCTCGTTCCAATCCCCCAGGCAGGGACACCTTCCACGAGACCAGGTTGCTTCAAGCTCTGTCTAACCTGGCCTTGGGACACTTCTTTTCTCCCCCTTGATCCATACCTAAAAGGAACAAAACTCACTGGTTTCTGAAGAAATCTTCCAATAGGCAGAGGAGAAATACCATTATCCCATCTCTGTGGTAGCCTCACAGCTCCACAGCATGTGGCTTTTCTTAAAAAACCCCACTCCCCTCCCTCTCACCTTCCTACACCCCTGGGGCTTCTGGTCATGGGCAGGTCTGAGAGGAGGGGCTCTTCCCCACCATCTCTTTGGGTGAAGTGAAGGAAACCCAGCCCAGATTTTTAAGGTTATTGCCCAGGAAACACTTGGAGTCATTTTATTTCAAACTTTGCTGATGTTCTGGCTGTTTGAACGCTCTGGCGGTTTGCGGCCCCGCGGGACTCGAGCGCAGCACATCCGCACTCAGAACCTCGAAAAAAGGGGGACCCTGAGAGTGCAAACCCTATCAGTGGTCTGCTAGCCGATGAATAGCAGGGCAAATGTGGTGCCAGGGACATCACACCTTGCTTGGCGCGCTCCTGGCCTGGCTGTGGTGTGAGGACATCGTGGAGGAGATGTGCAAGGACAGCTGCTGTGATGGAAGAACAAGTTCCTCCCAGGTCTGGAAATGAACTTCCTGAGTACAGCCCTGGACCTGGTGATTTTTTTTTCTAGCCACAAGAGTATGAGATATTTCTCCACAGGCTGTCCATGCTTGTGTGAGAGCTGAGGCACAGGATTGTTGCCTGAAGTGTTGCGGGAGTAAATATTTGACTTATTACTCATTTAAAGATGTTGTTGACTTGTTGCTGTGTTTTTCCAAGCTCGTGCTTTTCCTCTTAGTAAGGTTTCTTGTGTTATGTACATCCCCAGCACAGGCAAGAGTGGAAGTGCTTCCTGTCAGAGCAATCAGAGAAGCTGTTTATCTCTTCAACTGTTTGGGGTGGTTATTTCAGTCAACCACATTAAGTTAATTTAAAAGGAACCCATGGTATTTGAACCTTGTTGGATTATTTTTTTTTTTCTGCAGCATCTGGCAAAAGGACTAAGGATTCATGGACTAAATGGGTTGGGGACTCCTCTGACCTTTCCTAGCTCTGTCAATGACTTTGACTTTCCAAACTAGGTCTCTCTTTTGAGTGACCAGAGTCCACTGAAGTCAAACAAGTGCTGGGTCATCATATCTATGCACACTGTTGTCATTTGTACTTGAGAACCCACTCCAAACATAAGGCACTACAGAAATGCACAAGGGATATGATTCAAACCCCCAAATCCCCTGAACTCTAAAAGAAATTAGAAAGGTAGGAGAAGAAATGGGGTGCTGCAGCTTCACCCCAGTTTGCAGTGTAGGACCTGCAGAAGAGCTGTCCAGATTCTTGCCTGTGAGTTCATGACATCACACAGGCTTGGTGTTTTGGGCAAGCCATCCCTCTCCTGTCCCAGAGCCCCCCTGTTCCCTTCCTCAGTGACTGGCCTGTCTGTCCTCTCTATAAGATATCAAATAAAAACAGGAATCCTTTAGCTGCCAAATCATCCTTCACGGCTCTGCTCTGAAATGCTGCCGGAAGAGTGAACTACTCCACTACTCCCAAAACTGAAACTCTCTGCTGGTATCACACCACTTACCCAAGAAACAATGTCTTTTAAGGCCTCTTGCACTAGGTGTTGAAAATAAATGCCTACGCTTTCAAATGGTACTGCACCAAAGCCATCGTGGCTATAATTAGCGTGATTTAACTTCCCCCCCTTCCCCAACTCATTCTAAACATTTATCGTAAGCATTTCTAACTTGTACCTGCAGGAAAACTGAGACACAGTTCATGGAAACCGAGCTCATGTGATTCAGTCTCAGATCTTACAACTCCTCTGGCCCTCGAGGGGTTCCTTAAATTATTTGCTTTGATGTCACCTTCTTTCATGAACAACCTTTGATTGTTCCCTGATTAGCTATCTTCCTTTCCCAAAAAATGAGGTGACACACACACACACACTGCTTTGGGTTCCCTGGTAGGACTGCCTGCCATGCTCTCTGCTGGTGATCACAGAGTTCCAGCTAAGGAATGATGTGAGTTTTAAAGATCAAAGGGATTTATCTGTGGCATCGCCGCTTGGGGAGGTGGGATTCAGGTTGTGGTGCTGGGTGCTCTGAAGCACAGAGCCATGGGTGCCCCTGTGGGGAGTGCACAGCCCCACCAGACTCAGCTCTGGTGAAGGCACCTGCAGGGCTTTGTGGACGTGGATGTTCTGGGGCCAAAAGGAGAGGTTTTTATGTTACAATAAGGGGGTTGCATGAAGGGCACCCTGCAATACTCGCCCAAGACAGACCTATCCCCAGGTCACACCACAGCAGGATTGGTGCTTCTCTCACGAACTCCAAGTTTGCCCACAAAACTGGGGAGAGATGAACCCTGCCTGTGACCCTCAAAGCTCCTGACATGCCTCTTCCCAGGGGAAAAGCAAAGTGTTTCCCCAGAGATTCACTCTGATGGGAATTAAAACAGCAGAAGTCAACAGACCTAAAGTGACACAGGTTGAAGAGCCTCCAGGGCAACACAACGAGACTCAGCCAAGGGGGTTCAAATGTGACAGGGTTTTGGGATAGGGTTTTGGCCAAGGCCAAGCAGAGAGCCTTCAGAGCCAGATGTGTGTCTGGTCCAGATCTGAAAATTGCACAGAGCTGGCAGACAGATCCTCTCCAGGGAGCTGACCCAGGACAGGAGACGTCCTACAGAAAGCAGCTCCTACCTGTGGCTGAGAGAAGATACTCCCCAACCACTTCTCTCTACTCCAAAGGGGCAACAAGTCTGGTCCCCCCATCTTCAGTCCCCTGAGGTGCTCTCCATGGGTCCCTCTGTCACTCAGCAGAACGAGGAGCCTGTGTCCTCCTGCTCTCATAGCTGCCTTCGAGCACAATCCTGCTCTGCAAGGTTTCTGCAAGCTCAGGTCGTTGTTCCCAGAGCTCCACAGAGCCCACAGTGGGGTACTCCACGGGCTCTTGGCTTCTTTCCTGCCTCATGAAATCCAGTGCAGTGTGGCAACACCTGGGAGTGATGACAGACACGGCCCAAGCCCCCGGACAGGACCTTCAGTATTGAGTAACACGGACGTTTGTGAGGTCACCCCAAAGGACACACCAGACTGCCCCCCTGGTTTGGGCCTACAGGAAGCTACAGATGGTGACTGTCTTCTCAACCCCTAAATTTCTCCAGTCTACGAATATCTTAATATTTTTCAAGACATTCAGGATATTAAAGTGCTCTCTTCCCAACACAGGCTCAGCCTAGCTCCTCTCAGGGTTGGTGCTGAACATGTGGCTTCCTGGACCATAAAAAAACATTTTCCTTACAACTCAGGCAGGTGAGCAGCTTTTTTTACGACTGTGGGAAGACGCTAATGACTTGGCATCCTCTTGATTAA